CACCTAAAAAGTACGGAAATGACTATGCAGTCACTTATCGAAATATTTACATTTTAAGTAAGAATCATTCAAGGTCCCAGATTCCCTGTATTTCTACATAACATTTATAGGTCTATTTTTTCTTTAACGGCTTTTAAGATCCAATTGTCTTCTGTCTTTTAGACTGTTGCTCAGAGGTACTCTTCAGTGTCCTCGGGCAAGCAGTAATCTTGAGTATATATGAGAATTTAATAATGACTATGAGTCATGAAGTGCATAATTGCTTTATTTTACAAGGTCATGCTTCTCCATGCATTTTTATTAGCCTGTTTTATAATGTTGATGCTAATCATAGGCAGTTTTTTAAAAGTAAATTTTTAACTCTGATTTCGTCAAAGTGCTAGTGGCTAAATATACTACTGTGTGTGAATGATTCAGAATCATAGATAATCTGAAATATACTTAGAAGTAAACGATAGGGATCTGACCCAAAAAAAAATGAGGAATAAAAAAGAACAATTCTACATTGCTGGAAAAAGATAAAAACAAATGTACCATTGAGCACATGTTGCTCAAAATTTTCTCACCACATTATTACAAAGCTAGAACATCTTCTTAAAGACTTAGGTGGGAAAGATTAAAAATAGCTTGAACTTTTTTTTTTTTTTTATGAATTTGGTGTGCTTTACCAACCATAGTAATCATTTTTGGGCAAGACTTTGGCCTTGAGGGTTTGGAAATTCTGTCCTGGAGGAGTCTGAACTTTCTTTTTTGTTACTATACAGTTTTGTTCAGGAGAAATTCTGATTTATTTTTTCGTTTCAATGTGTTTTCACACTTGCAGGATGGTTGGTTGCAGATAGACAAGTGATGTTATAATTACTTTTTTCATCTAATTGCATCTACTCTATAAACTTTGAAGATTATCAGAAAAAGACAATCATCATAGAGTAAAGACAGTTTAAGAAAGCGAAAAGAAGGTTTTTATTTAAACTACTCTTCAAAAAAAAATATAGAAAAAATATTGGTTGCACTTTGATTTTCCTACTAAAACAATATATACTCACTTGTTCATCTTGTTTGAAATGCTGCAAATCTCCTATTGATTTTGATTATTTAGAGTTTTACAAGCAAAAAGTAATTTTTTTTGGTTTGAAGAAAGATCAAAGAAATGTATGGCCCTCAAAGCCATTAAAAACCTGACAACTGTTGCATTTTTCTGCTGCTGAAAATATTTTTCTTCCTGGGACTACTATATTCCTAGAGCAGTTTTCCTGGGCTGCTATCCTCTGACCTACCTGCAATGTGATCTGTTATCTAGACTTCTTTGAATGTGTAAAAACTTTTATTGAAGTGATTTTGAGTACAATTCACATGCAAATTACATGGCAAGGCTTTAGTGTCTTAGATAACTAAAAGAAAAGTAAAAGAGTAATTATAATGCAGCATGAAGTAAGTTCTGCAGGTTCTTTGCCATTTATATCTGTTCTTCCATGCATAACTCTGAATTTAATGGTTTATTATTTTTTCCCACTCTACAGAGGTCCCTTGTTCCTAACTTTATAATATGGGTTCTAAAGGGAATTCTACATTTCGTGTGTATCATCACAATATATTAATGCAGTTTGGGAACACTGGTAAAAATTCTTGTCTCTTTTTAAAGGTAATGGACACAATTTTATTACTGTGAAAGCTGTGAATGTAGGTGTCACTTTTTCACTGTGTTGAGTCCAAGGTGAGCTGCTTTTCCCCAGTGCTAAGGAGACAGTCATTCAGTAGAATTGCATATTACTCAAACTGGCTTTGTAAATCCAGAAAAAAAAAAAAACAACCCAAGAAAAAAAGTTAAAAAGTAGATTATATGTGCTAACATTTGTAACCAAGAGTATGAAATTAGAGAATTTTTGGATATTTGGCTATAAAGCACTAAGGTTGTATTGATAACACTTTCCTATGCAGTGCCTTTCAAATAGGAGGATTCCAATACCAGTGTCCAAGAGGAAGCAAAATTACAGGCACTCTCTATAGCCTGACACACAACTGCTTATATGCACTGGTGAAGAGGAGTAAGGTGAATGATTTCTTCTGAAATGATATTTTCCTCAAATCAGTTCATACCTTATGCACAGTAAGCACAGGAGTCCCTCTGTCTCCTGTTTCTTTTTCTGTGTTGTTTCCTTTTCTAACCCTATTGCTTTTCCACCCATGTTCTGTCTTGTAATGTACTTCACTATTTCTTAAAAACCTTTCTCTTCAACCTTGTCACACATTCAGTGTTCTCCATGTTCCAAGAAGCAAGATGGGATGTACAAAATGTATCTAAAGAGGAAAACTCAATACTCTTACAAAACCAAAATATCAGGATATATTTAATCAGAATTAAAATATCAGTTTTAAAATCAGGATAGAAAGTGTATCTATTTCTTCTTTAGCAGTTTCCAGTATGCTAATGGCATTGTTCTATTTTTGGAACTTTGCTGGAATACTGTGGACATCCATAGGTAATACACAGTAAGAAAAAATTACAGTTGGGGGAAAAAAATCTATTGACAGTGAGAAAAATGTTGTTTTTTCAGAAAATATTCATCTGGTACTGTTTCAAGGAGAAAAAAAAACAACAGGAGCTTAAAAGTATTTTGTACTTTAGAACCTTCTTAATTTTTCTCTTACATCTTTATAAATAAATGCACACGAGCCAATTATCTAAAGCTGGAAGGAACAAAGCTGAATGCAGATGTTTCATCAAATATTCCAGCCAAAAGATAGTTAAGCATATGGACAGGATGCTAGAAGGCTGCAGAAAAACTCCATGCTTTTTAAAAACAAACACCTATTGCTGCAGGTTATTGAGGGATTTGCTTCTGCTTCTTAAAAATGCCTTGTGGGGTTCTTCAAAGGAATGAAAAGTACAGCTTTAAGATGGTAGAGTAGATTTTTCATGGTATAAGTGTCCTTTATATATGTTTAAAACATGACATTATACAATACATTTCTGCAGTCCAAGAAATCCTCTCTGGTGAGAAAACAAATTTAAGGACATGCTGGGGTGAAAAATAGAAGTGATAGCCAAGATCAATCATTAAGGATTAAATGAATTCCAGAGGTGCTTCCTACCTACCTAAATTATTCCATGATCCTCAGATAAGATAAGATTTATTTTATCTCTAAACAACTTTTAAATCCTTCAAAATACAGGACAGTTCCAATATTAAGGAAAATACTGACTGAAGGATCTGTACTTTAGCTAATATAGCTATTTGTGGCCCCAAAAATACGATTCCTTTGAGAATTGTTTGGTAATGTTATAGGTCATTTATGGTTTTGGTTCCTCTACAGCATAATAGTTCTTTCATAAAAAAAAATAAATCTTTTTATTGCTTCACTCCAGCGTCTCATATTTCTTTCTTCTATTCATTTTAAAACTCCTTTTTGGGCTATATACAAGTCTCAGGTGAATTGTTTGGCCTTCTAACAAATGCAATCTCTCTTCTGATTCAGTTTCATGTGCTTACTCTCCATGAAAATCTCAATACTATTTTCCTACTCATTTTGAGCTTCATAAAGATATATTTTTAAAACCTTTCAATTATGTTTATTGCATTTTCAACCTGGGGACCCTTCAAGGACGTTCTCACCCTTCCCAAGCTGTGGGGCCCAGCTCTGCACACAGGGCTCAGGGTGAGGCCGTGCTGAGCACAGCAGCGTGATCCCTCTCTGGGTGCTGGGGATGCTGTGTCTGATCCCCCCGGGATGGGGTTTGCCCTCCTGGCTGCCCGGGCACTGCTGACCCACACTGAGCTACTGCCCATGAAACAGGAGCCAGGCCTAAAAGAGTTAACTGAGATATCTTGGCCTGCTAACAAACCCCAATACCTGTGTTACTGCAAGAACATTTTAGGAGCACTGGTTAATATCATGTTCTGTTCTGCTCACTGGACCAAAGGCCTTATTGTAGAAAGAATAGGAGTAGTACACAGACAGTAATAAATTAGGTAAACTAGACCTCTGAATAAGATCTAGAAGGCCCAGAGCCAGGATTTTCAAGCTTGAAGAATTCAGGTCACCTCATTGAAGAGGTCAAATTGAGGAAGACGTCCATGGCGACCACCAGAGGGATGAAGGCTTGAGGAGAAGACCCCACAGTAGAAGACTGAGCATGTGTGGAAAGACTCCACCCAGAGACCAGCCTGCTTATTAATATGTGTAATAAATGATGTAACCACGTATCTAAAGTGTATAAAATGGTTTAGTTTTGCACTTGCAAGTAGAGCAAGTTTGTTCAGTGCGAGCTGGCTTGCTCCCAACATTGGATAAACAAATACCTTGCTGCTTAAAGATAAAAAAATATCTCTGAGCAGTCTTTTGGGCTGAGTTTTTCAGATTTACCCACAGCATCCCAAATACCACTCTAGGGCTGCTCCCAGACATTGTTCTCCCAGTTTATCCTTGTGTGCAGCAGTGCTCCATCCCAGGGGCAGAATTCAGCATTTTTCTTGTTACATTTTGTGCCACTGATAATTGCCCAGTGCTCCAAGCTATCCAGATCCCTCTGCAAGGTTCTTGTCCCTCAAGAGAGTCACCAACACCTTCCAGTTTGGTATCATCAGCACATTTACTGCTGGTACACTCAACTCCTGCCTCCAGCTCCTGGATAAACATGTAGAACAGAACTGGTCCTAGGACTGAGCCCCGAGGAATGTTGGATTCCAAAATTTGGATATGAGAGAAAGAAAACTTCTAGGTTTAAACAAAGGCCATGGTCTACATAAGCTGGGAAAACCACTCTTTACTGACCTCATCCCTGTGGATCCTTCCTGCCTTCTTCAACAGGATGTGAAGAGACTCCTTGCATGAAGTTATCACATGCCCTGCCCAAGCCAGAGTGTTCTCACCCTGATCTCATTAGACCTGTGTAGAAGACCTATTGTACCTTATCTCTCCCTTTGTGTTTCCCCCTGTAAAATCCCCCTAAGATAAATGGGTCTTCCTGTACGATGTAAGTGCTAAGACTCAAAAAGTTTGTAATTGAGGATTTCCCCTTTACCTCATCCCTGTAAAGTCCCTAATTGTAATAGTTCTGCCCAGAGGTAGCCCCACACACGACTAGCCCTGGAGCCCTTCTTCATCCAGCACACTGCCCAGAGCATGCTGTGCAGGACAGTATCAAAAGCAACACTAGAATCAAGAAAAGCTGCATCTACTCCTTTCCCTTCAACCACCAGGTGAGAGACCTTACTGTGGAAGGATATCAAATTATTTAGGCAGGACCTTCCCTTTTCTGAACCCATACTGACAGTGGAGGGTGATTGCATTGTTCTTGAAACACCTTTCAGTACTCCTCAGCATGATCTCCATCATTTCTCCAGGTACTAATTACAAAGTAACAGGTCTGTAATTTCCTGGGTCCTCCTTCATCCCTCTCTTGTAAATTGGAATAACACTGGCCGGTTTGCAGCCAGCAGGGACCTCCCCAGGCTCCTCAAACATTTGGCAGATGATCAAGGGGGTCCTGCCATAACACCTACCAGCTCCTTCAGTGCTCTGGGATGAATCCCACCAGGTCCCATGGACTTATGAACAGATACAACTTGTCCCTCACGATTTCAGTGTCCACAAATGGAAGATCGTTGCTTCTGCAGTTGTGGTCTTCCCACTCCTCTGAGTTGGAGCTCTAGATCTATATCAGTATTACCGAAGATTGAAGCAAAGAAGACACTAAATGCCTCCATTTTCTTTGTCTCCTTTTTTGTCAGATGGGCATCTTCATCAGTCTAATATTTTCCTTAGACCTTCCCTTGTTATTAAATAATTTAAACACTTTTTTCAAGGAACTTTTTCAAAATATGGGGCAAGGAGGAAGGTCACTGTTTGCTTGTTTTGGCTTGCTTTGGAAACACACTTATGAAGCCAAAGACAAGAATGTTTGATGGGCTGCTTGGATCTGTCGTAGGAAATGTGGTAAAAGTTGCAAAAGCAATTCAAGTTGATTTCTGTCATCATTAATAGTTGACTGGGGTTAACATAACATAATCTTTCTTTAACTCAAAATACTTCAGGTCTTCAGTGGAAGAAAGACTAGTACCTACTGCATGTGAGTACTCTGTAAAGCATGTACCCTTAGTGGATGATCAGATACATATTTTCCAGTAGCAGTTGTTAATAAAATGATTGTTTAACCTGTGAAAGTTTTTTACAGCTAGAAAATTAAGAGTGGTTTCTGTTCAATGTCTAGAATACAAGTAATAGGTATAAGCCACGCCAGTTTAAATCTATCATTAGTGGAAATAAAGTCTTGCACAAAGCTACTTTGCACAGAAATGGGTGAATGCAGCAATTATTTTGGCTTTCTAGACTATGATATTTCTCTTTTTGTATTATTAGTCATCCTATACTGCCAAGATTCAGACATGCTTGGTTGTCCTTGCCCAGATTATGGTACAGGATTAAATTGCAAATTCTGTGCTTTACCTTGGCTTTTCCTACATTTTGTTCCTCTCTCTGTAAAAACTCCCCTGTTGTTTAATATCCAAGGGAAAGCATCTCTATATAAATGAATTCTTTAGACTTCCGTATTTCAAATACTACATAGAGATACAATTAATTCCCTAAGGAAAACTTTAGCCACAGTTTCTTTTCTAAATATTCCATGAAAATTTCTCTAACCATGCTTTTTTTGAAGAGCTTCATACTTTGCCATTCTTCCCAGATCCCACAAAAATAAATAAATCGTGTGATACAGTAGTGTTTCTGGCTCATGAAAATGTAAAAAAATGAAGTAAAATCAAATTCTAATGTTTTTATTTTCACCAATAATTAAGAAAAATAATATAATACAGAAATTATGTTCCATACACATGTTTTCGAATGTATGGGGAAGAGTATTTTTGGGAACATGTTCCCATGAGTAAGAAGCTGTGATAAAATTTATTGCAATGCTACTTTCCCTAAAAAAAAAAAAAAAAAAAAAAAAAAAGTAAAAAAAAAAATTAAAAAAATTAAATTCCACATTACAATCGGAAAATTCAGCTCTGAATTCAAGATATTCTGTTATATGGTTATTTTCCTTCAAGAATTTTAAACAATCATTTTATATTTTGCACATGTACACATGTAATATCTGAAAAAAAAAAAAAACAGAAAGAAAAGAGGATTGCATTATTATGTTTCCATACCTACAGCTATGAAGTTGGAAGACAGCAGCATTGCAGCTCTAGAGTTCAGGTGACAAAGCTTTGGCTCGCCATGAGAAAATGCTTTTCCTCTCACAAAAGATACAGAAAAGTCTGTTGACTTCTCCTCTTGTGTCCTTCTTTATCTGTTTACAGCTACCAGGAAAGAGAGGTTGTGAACTGTCATTACAAGTGCTGTGAGTAACTGTGGACAAAAATCACAATAAGATGGTGTCGCAGTTTAAATGAAACTGGACTGTTTGCTAAAGAGGATGAGTT